GGGAGAGGGTATGCGCTGCTGAACTGCCCCATACTACGGGACTGAGGACCAGGGGACTGAGAGGCAGGGGGACTCTGTGCTCAGGGAAAGCCTCTAGGTTCTTGCCCCGCCTCCGCACCCTCTCTGGCCACGGGAACTTGGGAGTGTGCTCTCCAGACCTTGGTCCCACTCCCTGGGAATGGATGGGGGGATGAGATCTCCAAGCTCCTTCCATCTCCCTCCTCAGTGCCTCCCTCAGGCTGGGCTGCAGGATAAACATGGTTGGGAGTAGAATCGTGGGCCCATCTAGACTGGACACCGTGGGGCTCGGGCGAGGCCTGCCCACCAAGGAACTTGGACGTGTGAGAGCAGTCTGCTGAGACCTTGATAGAAATACGATGCTGGTGGACACCAAGGCCTACAGGCTGCCAAGCACATCCAAGACATTGTAAAGAGTAGCAAAGGTGCTAGAAGATGTAGGCGTGGAGGAGTGGGCAGTGTGCACGTATGTGTGTTGGAGAAGGGGGGGCGGTGAGGGGAAGGGCAGGATGGTGACGGTCTCTCACCCTAAATTTCCTGAAAGTTCTTAACACAAACACACTGTGTTGGTGCTAGACTTGCCTGTCTCCCCCGGAGCCTCCGTGAGCTGTCAGATGCTGGGCAGGGTTCCGAGTGGACCAGTGAACAGGGCATTAGACAAGGACATTCCCACTGCGTCCCCAGTCCTCCCTGCCCATCCCTGCAGGATGCTGAGAGGCAGGTGGGCAGGAGGACAGGCTCCAGCATCTGTCTGCTGGGATTCCCACACCAGGGGCTCCAGGTGGTTGCAGGAGGGATGCTGATCCTCACTGTGCGCTGCCCCCTCCACCCCAGGCAGCGAGGGGCTGGAGAAGCTGTTTCAGGAGAGAGGACAGGTAAAGGAGTGGCAGGAGTCGCTCCGCTGGGAACCTGTTGTTCAGTCCTGTGTACCAGGTACTATACACGTTTCATCTCACCTCACCTTGCCTAGGTGAGGGAACGGAGGCCCGGGGAGGCATGACAGCAGCCAGCAGGCAAGAGATCACAGTTCAAACCCGTGTGTGGGTGCCCCCGAGCCTAGGCTACCCCACAGTGCTCTCTCCAACACTTCTACTAAAGTTCCCTCTTGGCAGAGGAGCCATCTGTATTTCTGTAGCCAGGCTTGACATTTCTTTAAAGTCTCTTATTTTAGCTAAAGAAAATGTGTACCAAATTGCATTTGTATTGTATAACATTTCTGTGTTTGTTTTGGAAAAAAAAAAGTGATGTCCCTTCTTGTCAATCATCTAATGCATCTGATAGCCTGTGTATCTCAGGGCTTTGGGTACCCCTGGCAGGGTTCCCGGGCCCTGGCTGAGGGGCCTGTCACTCCAGCCCAGACTGTCCCTGGTTGTCAGATCTGGCTGCACTCCCGCTGCAAGGCCAGAGCCCCCCGCCACACCCCCGGGAAGCTGGGAGGCTCAGCGGCCCCCGCTCTGCTGCCCCTGGTCACCTCTCCAGAGCTGGCTGGCGGGGACCCGCCAGAAGGCCTCAGCTGGGCTGTAGGCATCTCCGTCTCCTCCAATAATGACTTCCTATAAATCAGACCTGCCCTCGCTTTGTTCTGCACTGCTCCCAGCCAACAGCGAAATTCCCCACCCAACATCATAAATCCACCTTCATTTCCTTTCCAAATTTCTTTTAAGGCTTCTTTAATCACCACCTTGCAGCCCGGACAGATGATCCCTTAAAGGGTGGGACCAAAATGCAGAGTTCCTGGGGAGGGGTGGAGTTTGCGGGGAGGAGGGGAGGCAGGGTCAGGAAAAAGGGAAGAGATGGATTCGGAGGGAGACAGGAATAAAGAGGCCCATGTCTGTGCCCAGGGCTGGGCACTTCATTTTCTCACAACAGGGGCTGCAGGGTAGAGTTGGGGTCTTGGGCACACATGGAGAATGCCTCCAGGGCAGGGGCTTGGCCTGCTGGCTTTGTGCTTCACCCTGTGCCCAGCATGGCGCTCCTTACACCAAGGAGATGCGCAACAGAGGGTCCTGGCATCACTGTTGGAACTTCAGGGGAGTAGTGTGTTGCTGTTTGCTACACTTGGTGGGCACGGCCTGTGTGCTAGGCCTGGTGTTTACCTCCCTTCATTCTCACAGCACCCCCATTTTGCAGGGGAGAAAACTGAGGCCCACAGAGGGTAAAATCCTGCCTCCACTGCTGCCTGGAAAGGACATGGTGGAGGCAGGTTCTGCACCTGGTACTCTGGCTCCAGACGTTGTCCTGGCAGCTGTGAGATGGCTAGTTCAGAGTGCTCACAGGGGCTAAGAGACTTGCCCAAGGTCACTTGGGCCCCAGAGGCAGTGCAGACCTCTTGGTCCCCACCTTCCCCCTCCCTGGGTTCCATGCCGGCCTCTGTGATGGGGAGAACTAACTCGGGATTCCCATGAAGGGTAGTTCCCGCACTGCCCAGGCTCCAAGAGGCTGTGAGCAGCTGAGGAAGCCAGGCTTGGGATGCTCATCGAACCAGAAGCCATGGGGTGCACTCTTGGCTCTCCCAATGTCCCTCCAGGGGCCCTCGAGTCCCCCAAATCCCCTGAGAGCGGGCACGCTGGCCGCTAGATGGCACTGTGACCCAGCAGAGCAGCAGCCGCCCGCAGAAGAGACAGCCTGGAGAGGTCTCCCCTCCCCCTCCAGAGGAACCGGACAGCCAGTGCAGGCAGTGCCATCACCCGGCCGGCTGACCTAGTTGCTGGGCCTCCCCCTGCTGCCCTGGGCACCCCAGGCCAGGCGGCTGCTTCAGTCACAAAAATCAGGGACCATATGAAAGTCTGAGTGGCAGTCCCTGGGGCTGTGTTCCCATGGGGGTGGGCCTTCCTCCTTCCCCAGCCCTCTGTCTTGCAGGCTGGAGCAGGATTCTCAAGCTGGAGGTCATCAGGGGGGGGGGGGGGGGGGGGGGGGAGGGGGCTGTAACTGCTAGTTTCTCTACACCCTCCCGGGTGACCTTGGGCAAGTCCCTTCTGCCCGGGGACCTCCGTTTGTTCTTTTGTAAAACTGGGAAGTTCTCTGAGGTCTGTCCAGCAGATGGGGGCTGTGTGGCTTGGCTCCTGGGACCTGCGGCTCCCTGACTGCACAGCTGGCTGTGGTTTGCTACCCTCCCAGCCCGCTCAGGGCCCTGCACCTACTGCCTGCTTCCTCACCCCTTGCCAGCCCCATGGCACTGGCCATGTGCCAGAGCCTTGGCAATCAGGCTGGGCTGCGGTGGTGGTCCTTACATTTGGGGTCCATTCCTGGGATTCAGGGGGGTGCTCAGGGCTCGTTTTCCAGCCAGATGTCCATGAGTTGTTAATGGAATGACAACAGGGCCTGCCGGGTAGAGTTGTTGGGGGGCTTGGCAGACAGGGAAAGGGTGGGCTGCGGAAGGCGGGCAGACATAATAGTAACTTGGTGGGCCAAATACGTTCTTGTCAGCCAAATGGCTTTTGGAGGTCTGCAAAGCTGCTCTAACGTGTCCTCTGGGCATGCCAGCTGCCCCGGCCCGCCTGTGTGCTCCACAGAAGCTGCCGTCCGTTCCTTGAGCTGCCCGGTCCTTCCAGCACAGCCCGGCACAGTTGGCTGGTGCTCCCGCCCCCACCCCCGCTCCTCAGCTGTCTCTTCTTGGTCCCCTCCTTCCCCCTCCTCGGTTCCTGCCAGCCTCTGCCAGCCCAGCCAGCGAGAACAATGTCCCCTTCATGCTCAAACCCAGCTAGCACCTCCTGAATTCTTTCATTCTGTGTGGAACCCTTTCCCAGACCTCGCCGCCCTTCCATCTCATCATTTTCAAGTGCTACATCTCCCCGGCCCACCCTCCTCCTCCTGCAGATCAAGGCACTTAATTGCCAAGCCAGCCCAGTGCGCAGAATTGGGACCTATTCCGGAAAACAGATTGTACAAATCTAGGCTGAAGCTCCTGCGTGTTTATTCCTTTTCCCGGGAAAACATAGTTTATTACTGACACTCAGCCTTTCCTCTGCACATCCACGTGCGGAGCTCTGGAGGGCTCTGCCGGGCTTGAGCTGTGCAGACGATTTTATTGTCTAGTCATATGTTCCCACAAACTTTGTCAGACAGGCCGACATCCATCTCCCCTTTTCACCGAGGTGGAAAGCTGGCTAGAGGAAGGCATCATAAACTCAAGGAAGGCTGTGACAACCCTTTCTGGGTAGGAGAGTGGGATTATGCCACCACCCCAGTGTCTGGAAGCAGAGGGGGTGGGGCAGCCCAAATGACCCCTCCAGCGTCTTCCCAGCCCTAGGATTGGGATTCAGGCAGGCGGCCCCCCTGGAAGTCTGTGGTGCAGACTGGGATGGCTATATTGGGAAGGTCGACCAATGAGAGAATTTCTCCGTCCAGAGGGCTGATGCGGTGTGAGTGAGGCTGGAGTTCACGTGAGAAGTTGTTGTGCACAGCTCTGGCTTCCTGATTTCTGGCACCCAAAACAGGAACTGGATCCCTCTGCCATCAGCAGTCTATTGGCAGATTGTCAGAGTTTGGTCAGCAGCCGTGCTGGCATTAGAAAAACAGCCTTCCCTAGAAAGATCTCCCTGTCAGAGACTCTGACACTGTGCTGCCTTCCAAAAAAGTGCAGGAGAGGTTTTGGAACAAGAACACAATTCTTTGAGCCCAGTTATCTGAGACGGGACCCAGCTGAAGCTCAGGGATTTAGCTAGCACTCAATTCCTGGCTGCTTATGTGTGAGTAAATAATTTCATCTGCTGCTTGGCAATAAAGAATGCTTTCAACCTCAGCCTTTGTGACTTGCCCGTTTTCTCCTGCAGAACCTGTTCGCCCGTCATGTAGGTCACAGCAGGGAATGGGGCAAAGGTTCTAAGGACAGGTGATGTTACACGGTGTTCACACCTTGTGTCCTCTGTGCCCCAAGGGGCCCCCTAAAGCCCTCACCTGCCAGGCATCTCATCAGCCCTTGGAAGAGCCCTCTGTGGGTGGAGGGATGGAGTAAAATCTTCATCCTCCCTCCCCAGGGACACCCACCCATCCCCTCCTGTGGTCTCTGGTGAACTAGCCCACTCCCCAGCCCCAGCCCTGATCCCTCCAGCTCGCAGCCTCCCATGTCACTCTGCATACCTGTATACTTGCTGACCCCAGCCTCAGCAGCCACATCTCTGAGCGCCAGAATGCCCCGGGAGAGGTCACTGGCCTCGGGGTCCATTTCAATGAGGGCATCAGGGCCCACGTTACCGTAGGCATAATTGGCGATGTAGATAGAATAGCGTCCGGAGCCCTGAGGAGGAAGGGAAGGAGGTGAGCAGGCCCATCTGGGCTCATCGCGGTCTTCCCCCCAGAAAGCAGCTCTCCCCCTCCTCTCTCAGGACCACAGCTCTTTTACGGGGTGGGGTTCTTCTCCCCGGGTCTGGTGTGCAACGGCCTTGCGGGCTGTGCCCTGCACGACTCCAGAGTGCTTTTCACGGAGGCTACAGAGGGCATGACGCTCCTGGAGTCCCACAGAAAAGCCACCCTCTTTCTCTCTATCCTGTTCCACAAGAACACACCCCTCCCTCTCCCCCAAACCACCTTTTTATAGACAATTTTCTAATGTGCCTCCCTCCAGCTGAGCTCTCTCCAGCTGCCAGCCAGGGTAGCTGCTCAATAAATATTTGCTGATTGATTGATCTACCAGTTCCCAGGCCCGTCAGTCTCTCTCTCTCTCTCTCTCTCTCTCTCTCATTCAAGCTCACTCCAGCCAAGATGACAAGCAAATTCCTGAGACATCTCCCTCCCCCTGCCCACCCTATACTTCTTCATTCCTCTATCTTGGTAGCACGGGAGGCTCGGATACGCAGGGGTCCTCCTTCCCTCCCTTTGTCTTCCCCACATTATATAGAAAGACATATTGTACTGCTTCTGCCTTTATAACACGGCCTCAAATGTTTTCCCTTTGCACGCTCCTTGCTGCCGTAGTCATTCTCTTCTGTAGCCCGCACCACTGCTGATGAGACGGTCTGTTCTGCCCATCATTATAATGGTGTTATTTCTCCACTGGATGCCTCCTCTTCCCCAAGAGACCCACACAGCTGCGAAATCAGTTTTCTAGCTTTCCTCTCACCCCTTTCAACATTTCCCTCCAATTAATCAGACAGTAGATATTTCTTGAGCTCTAACTACATGCAAGGCGCTCTGCTCTATGCACTTCAAGTCTTCATTCTTAGGTTGCTTCTAGTCGGGTTTAAAGGCAAGCCATACACACAAAACTGCTGAGTCCAAGACAAGAGTGTGCTCAGTCAGCCCCTCTTTTCAACTCTCCCACTTGCTTCTATTTCTTACCCATAGACCTCATGGGCAGAACCCCATTCCAACTAACTGGTCACTGACTTTATCTCTTCTCTGGGACCATTTTCTCCGGGAAAGCTAATTAAGAGCCACTTGGTGGGTGAGGCCAACAAAGAACTCAGGGTGTCCTGGGGGATGCTGACACATCAAGAATCATACAATTATATATAAATGTTATTTACATATAAAAGCATAAATACCTGGTATTGCATACTTGCTGACCCCAGCCCCAGAATGCCCCAGGAGAGGTCACTGGCCTCAGGGTCCATTTCAATGAGGGCATCAGGCCCCACGCTACCGTAGGCATCATCATATGTATATGATTGAGAAAGTGTGCACAAGATTTCCTGGATAACAGAAGAGGGGCTCCTGCCCCAGAGGAAGGGCACCTAGCCATTGGAAATTCAGAAAAGGTTTTCTAAGAGGAGCATCAGCCAGGTGAAGTGGAGGGGAAAGAACCTTCCAGGCAGAGACGACAGAGAAT